ACGTCTCATTCCTTCGAGGAAGCTACAAAAAATGAGAGTATTTCTTTACTTATAATATGCTTTCTCTTTGAAATTTCGTGAAAAACTTTTTATAAACCAAATTTTGCACTCTGAAAAAATAATTCAAAGAGTTCTGAATTTTTTTAGCAAATTTCCAAAGTCGTAAGTTGCTATTCTGATTCCCGTCTGGTATTTATTAAACAATCCTTTCCATGTAAAGACTATTTCATATACTTTCTCTGTAAAGTTTTCCTTAAAAATAATTATTTTAATTTCATTTTCTAGTTGTTTTTACTTATTTTTTCGTCATTATCCTCGTCATTTTGTCTTCAATTTCCAGTTATTTCTGCCCTAGGGAATTTGCGCATAAAAAGATAATTTCTATAAATATTATATAATGATTCAAAACAATTTCCGATAAATTGATCCCAATTTTTTTTTTATTTTTTTTTAAATTTATTTTTGAATATTTATTTTTATTTTTAACTTAATTTAAAGAAATTTGATTCTTTTTATTTTATTTTAAATTTATCACGTGTTTTATATATCCAATTTTGGTATTAATACATACAATTATTTCATAAAAATATTTTCTTTCCTTTGTCGAGACAGTACAAGTTTTTAAAAAAATTTTGGGGATTTCTCTTTTGTTTAAAAAATATTTTTATTGAAATTTGAGTATTTGAAAATATTTACATTAAAAATATTTAATTAAAATTTAAAAAGAGATTTTCGTTTAAAAATGATATACATTATTGCCTTTAATAAATTTTTAACAAAATTATAAATAAACATAAAGTACATAAAAATTAGTGGAAAGAGGTTTTGGTCAAAATTCCATTTTTCTATTCATTTAGATAAAATTTCCGTCTTGTTTAGATTTTTAACGTTTCCGGATTCAGTGATTCTTCAGTAACCAGCAACCCTTTGTTTTGGGTAGAATGACGAATTTTGGGAAACACATTACAATCTGTTTTTGCTGTTGTTGACTTTGCTAGCTTTTATGGACGGAAGATAAGGTGGATGTGCACACTCTAAAAATTTTATCACGTAAAGACATAAAGTAGAAATAGATTGAACAGAATTAATTTTAAATTATTAATTTTAAAAATAAAATTAGATCTTTTCTTCTTCCTGTCTCCTTAACAACTCCTCTATAATTTTAGTTTAATTATAACTTTAAATAACCTAAAATTAAAAATTAAAATATAAATATACCTTTAATTCTAACAATTTTTTAAAAATTATTTTTAAATTTTACCTGCCTATATATTTATTTATTTTTACCACTTATAATTACGTAAAAAGCGTTTTATTTAAAAATTAATTTAATCTAAAATAAGCTTTTAAATTATTTATTTTTATTTGTGTTTTGCTTTTTTTTAAATTTTTGCGTCAAAAAACATATGTACAAAAATAATTATATTTAAAATGTTGCAATTGCAAAAAAACCTCATTCTCTCTCTCTCCGCCTTTCTTTGTCTCAATTTCTATATTTAAATTCATCATGCCTTCAATTACTACTAATTTTCTTGGGAATTAAAACAAAATATTTTTTAATAATTTCTATTTTTGGTATTTAATAATAAAAATATTTTTTGAGGGTTTGCATGTGAATGTCACCTATATATATTTTAAAGATAATTTTGACTGAATTTTAATAAAATATCAAGGAATGACCATTTAATGTTTGAGTGGTTGTGTCTATTTCTCCCTCTCTCGCTAAGACATACTTAAATTCTTATAGAACTATTTTAATATGCTAGATAATTTTAAATATTCAAACTTTGTTTTTGAGGTTGCTAACTTGCAAACAATTTTCGAAATAAACCTTTTTTAAATTAAATATTAATGCAAAACTTTTAATAAAAAATTCTTTTTTTAGTTCAAAATTACCTGACAATTTTAAATAAAAATTTTAGATTCCATTTTTGGAATTTTATTTTCTAAATATAAAGTTCTTTTAAATGTCAAGATTCTATTCTTGTTATTTTATTTAATTGTTTAAATTGGTATTTTGTAGTTTTTTTTAAAAAGAAATTTCTTTTTAAAATTTTATAATAAAAGAATTTAGACTAGGTCTGTAACTGCTGATTACTTTAATTGCTTAGTTCTTTCTTCCCTTACAGACTTTAGACTTCTTTAATTACCTACTAACTGTTGGCTATATAAAAAAATTTTTTTGTGATTTTGTATAGCCTATCACCGAACAAATATTTGTTACAAAATCTACAATTTCTCTCTATTAATTCATATTATAAAATATCCTCATAACCTTCTCGAATGACCTTTAACTTTTCTCTCTCTTTAAAAATAATTTTTTGTTTGCCAACTTTTGTTGCCAAAAACATTTTTGGTATTTAATTAAATAAAAATATAAAAGTTTATAAAAAATATGTAAAATATACTTTTTGTTTCTTAATAAAAAAAATAATGTTTTTAGTCACAAGAATGTTATGTTTACTTTTATTTTTTCTTTTATTATTTTTTTAAATATCAGATATATTTATTGGAGACAATAATTTTTTTAAATATTTTTATTTTAATAATTTTTTTTTATTTTTTACCATTTTTCTTTTATTTATTCTCACTCACTCTCCAATAATTTTTTGGCATTTAATACTTATTTTTTAACTCCGCCCATTAGCTTATGTTTGGCATTCAAAAGCGCGCAATGTTACACAGCGACGGGACATTGCGCACCGTTCATTCAATTCTCTTTTACCCATTTATTTGACTCTCTCCTCCCTTTACCTCTCCTTTTCTTTTAATTAAAAATAATTAATATTTAGGTAAATTTTTGAAAATTACTTAGGTTGTCAACTAAGTTTTGAGCCCCTTGGTTTTGAGCTGACATCCTAAGTAATTTTAAAAAAGATTTGTTTGATTTTTTATTTAAATTTCATTTTTTATTCAATTTTGGAAGTTCCTGGGAAATCTTCGAATATCCGGAACCGAAATCTCTATCCGAACCGAAAATTTTCAGAACCCGGACTTTTTCTCCAGCATTATCCACAACATTCTTTCTCTATAAAGCCCTTTTATTCTTTACATCTTTTTCTATTCGTTATTTAATGAGAACAAAAGCCAAAACATCTTCAACAAAATCCAAACAATTATAAAAACAATGTTTCTTAACATTTTAATTTTTAAATAATCTAAACAAGTTTTAAATTTAAAAAACATTTAAATAAATTTGGCATGTTTTGGAATTTTAAAATGTTTTTCTAAACAAGTTGTTTTTAAAGTTTTATTTTAAATAAATAAAAATATTTTTAAAAATTATTTTGAAAACAAAAACATTTATTTATTTAACACATTTCCGCTACAATTTTTATTTCCGTTGACAAAAATGTTCTCTTTTTTTGCAAAGGTCTTTTTCTTTCTTTTTTTTAATTTAACATTTTAATATAATTAAAACTTTGCGTGTATTCTCATTTATCAATTTAAATTATTTATTTTTTAAAAACAAAATTTTAATTTTATTTTTTTTAATTTATGACAGACTTTTTTTTTAATTTTTCAAAAAAATTTCCCACAAATTTAAAACAAAATATATCCAAACAACATACCTGGAGAGCTACTACGCCTCCATATAATTTTTTAAAATTTCTTTTTCCCGCGCCTTGTTTCTTTAATTTTTAGTGACGACAATGAATTTTTAATGAAAATATTTTTGAAAATAAAATTTTAGTTATTTATTTTTTAAATTAATTAATTAATTAAATAATTTAATTTATTTAATATTTAATTACTTCCATAGGTAATTAATTTTTAAAAAAAAATAATTATTTATTTTTATATTTAATTTTTTTGATAATTACCTATTTGTTTTTATTTACATAATTTTTTGGATCTAATTTAAAAAATTAATTATCAAAAAAATTTAAATAAAATTTATTTAGGAATTTTTTTATATACATATACCTAAGTACTAAGTTAAAAAATAAAAATTTTTAAAATTATTATTATTTTTTCAAATTTTTTTACTATTTTAAAACATTTCTTCTTCTTTTTTAGCTTTATATTAAATTTTGAGAAGATAATTTTTTAACAAAAAATATATACATATTATATACTATTTATTTGCATATTTATTTGTCCTTTTTTTGCATAAAATAATTTAAATAAAATATATATAAATTAATTTATGTAAATTTTTATTAATTAAATTTTATATTTAAAAAAAAAGACTTGGAAGTATTTTTATTAAATTAAAAAGACAATTAACCAATATATAAAAGTATATATTTATTTTATATGTAAATGACGCGATCTTTAATCTAATAAAAAAATTAAACTTAAAAAGAATTGTCACTTTTATTTTAATTTTTTACTAAAAAAAGAAAGGAAAATTATTTTTAAAAGTCTTCACAAATTTATTTAATCATTACCTTTACAGAGACTATTTTATTTTTTACCTTTTCTTCGAAGCCCTTTTACACGAATTTTGTGTATTCACGCAATTTAGTATAAACTATAGTCTAAAATATTCTTTAGAGTTTATAACAAAAAACGGAAATGATTTTTAAAAAATTTTGAAATATTACAGAAAAAAACTTCTTTTTATTATTCAAAAACATGTTTATTTATGTGTCAAATATTTTTTGTATTAATTCTTTACTTTAATAATCATTTTTATTATGTCCTAGGGTACGGTCTAATCTAGTGACTAACAGAATAACACAAGAATAGAATAACACGTTTATCCGAATACTACATAAGTATTTGAATAGCGAAGGTGGCAACAGGCAAGCAAGGTTGACGAGGGACAGGCGCGACGGTCGGCCCAGGTGCCGATCAAGACTGATCTACCAACCTAGGTGCCGACCGTATTTATACTAGACCCACGCATACCTAAAAATTTCTATCAATTCCCGTTACTTAAAAATATTTAGATTTTAATAAAATATACATAATACTCGAATATGTTCATACATATAATACCAGTAAATCATTTTTTAATTTTTAATTTTTTTAACAGGGAATATATTAAATAAATGTTTTTCTCCAAAATTAACTTCCCTTCCTTCCCCTCCTTCCCTTCAATTCCCCAATATTTACGTTCTTCTCTATTTTTTTCTTCTTCAACATCTTATTCATTTAATTCTTCAACAACAACAACTTCATTCAACAACAATTTAAATCAAAAACAATCCTCTTCCTTTCATTCTTCCCCAACTTCCTCCCCCTTCCTCCTTTCCCCCTCTCATTTTTGTTTTAATTCATTTAAAATTCCCCAAAAAAATTATCAACGAATTAATTGTTTTCCTCCAACATTTTTATTTCTTCAAATAATTATTGCAGCTTTGATTATTCCGATGATGGCTAATGCGGAGACTGAAAATCCTTTCCCAAATGATTTTGAAGAACACCGAATTTGGTATTTTTTAAAGAAAACTTTTTTTATTTCCATTTAAATAAAATGACGAATTTTTTAAATTTATTTTTAAAATCTTTTTGGGAAAGTTTTTTGCAAAAATATTTATTTCTTAATTTAGAAAATTATTTTCTTTCTATTTTGGAACTTGGAAGAAATTATTTTTAGAAAAATAATAAAAATAATTTTTTGTAAGAAAATATATTTAAAAAATTTTTTGAAAAATATAATAAATAAAATTATTTTTAGTGGACGTCTCTTAATTAATGCATTAAAGACTGTATGTAATCATCAATATCTACAACCTACTCGAGGTAGTTTATTTTTCTTAATGAAAAAGATTTTTTTAATAATTAATTTAAATGCCGTTCTTTTGGAAAAAATTTTTTGTTTTAAATTCTTCCACTATTTGTGTTTAAATTTTTTGATTTTTAACGATAACAATTTAAATATTCTAAATTTCATCAAAAATACATAGGAAGTAAACTTTTTAAAATATTTTTAAATTTAATAATTTAAAAATAATTTTTTTCGAGAACTACCAATTTAACAAAATTTTAATTTATTACGTAATTTTTAAAATATATTTAATTTAATATTTAAATTGTTACTTTTAAATATTAAATTAAATTTAAATACACGTTAATAAAAAATTATTTTAATTTTTATATACTAAATATGTACTCTTTAAATTAAATTTAATAAGTTCATCAAGTCCAAATATTTTTTTCTTTTCTTTTTTTATTAATAGGACATATATAAAAATAAATTAATAGGCAGGTCGTGCCATTCTCTAAATAATATTTTTTTTCCTCCAAAAAGTGTGAGTATTCAAAGAATGGCATATAAAAAAGTTTTTTGTTTTTAAGTAAATAAATGACATTTTTTGGTGTTTTTCTTTTAAAATATTATTTCCCCATTGGTGGCATTGATAGAAAAACAAATTGAGAGAAAACAAAAGTATCCCTTCCCCCCTTCCTTCCTTCCCTCCCTCCCCTCCCCTCTAAATTGGTCACAAAAATTTATTTTTTGTTGGCGATTTACTATTGCACTTCTAAATTCTTTAGTTCTTTAAATGAGAAAATAAAAAGGCCTTGATAGAAGAAAGGTGAACGGAAGTTAAGAAAGGGAAAAAACACAAAAAAGAAGTAATGATCGTTGAAAAACAAAAAAATTTAAGAAAAATTAAAATTAATTTTTAAATTAAATTGAGGAGGTAATCTACTAAAAATTCCTTAATTTTCAGAACAACTTTACGATAATTACTACAAAAATACTGGAATGGTATTTCGTGCAAGACGAGCTTCTTCTTCAATTTCTGAAATTGTTGGTGGAGGAGCTTCAAGAAAGAGACGAGGAATTATTTGGGAATGCTGGTAATTAATTTATTTTAAATCCGCACTTTTTAATTTTGTCCCTTTATTTTTTAAATTAAAATTTTAAAGTAAATTAAAATTAAATTTAATCCGATTTTTAAAAGAACAAAAAATTATTTTTTTAATATTTAATGTAAACAAAAATAAAGAAACCTAAAAAGTTTTATTTTACCACCTTCACTTTTTAATTTATACTAAAATGTCTCCTTATTTGGAGGGATATTTTAATTAAATTTATAAATCTGCACTTTTAAATTAAACAAAAATGGGAATTGTTACAAATTTTATAATTGAAAATTAAAAGTTTAATTGAAGCCTTAAATAATTTTATTTTTAAATTTTTATAAAAATATTATTAGGGACTGAGACAAATTTAAGAAAAAAATATTTTTTTAAATATTTATTTATTTCTTTTTCAGCACAAATAAATGTTCTTTAAATTATATTCGGAATAATTATTGTGCACCTGGATCTGTGGGTGGTGATGAAGCACTTCCATCGTGGCAATTTGTTGAAGATGTTCGACGGAGGAGAAGATAATAAATTTTAACAAAAAAATTGTTGGAAGGAGATAGATTTAATTGGTAATTAGAATATTTTTTGAAAAATAATTCGAAAAAATTTTTTTTCAATTTTTAGATCAGAAGAATTAAAAGACTTCAAAAACAATTTTCTTCTTCTCTTCCTCCTTCAAAAAAATATTTTATATGTACATATTTTCACTCTCTTCTAAATGTTGTTGCTTCTGTTCTTTCTCGACATAATACAAAAATTCTGTTTTTTTCCTTCTCCCAAAAAAGAAGTGTGCACCTCAGAAAAACAAATAAACAAAAGATAATCAGAAATTCTGTTTTTTTTAAATTTCATTCCTTTTCTTTTTTTAATTATAATATATAGTTTAATAATATATTCCAATTAATATATATTGAATTTAAATGTTTTAAGTACAAAATTTTAAAAATTTAAATTCTAAAATGAATCTTTACATATTATGTATTATTTTGATATTTTTAAAAACTTTTAATTATAATTAAAACGGGAGAATTCTTAATGAATCAATAAGGAAGTGAAGAAAAATTGAGGGAAAACTCTGAGGAACTTCATGAGAATACCCATTATGTAAAAGGTATGAAACTACAATATAGTATGTATGTTGAATCTCGTTACACAACTCTTTCCATTTCCTATCACAAATATTAAACATTGCTTGATCTAAATTTAATTATACTAAAGCTTTAAAAGTTTTTTTTATTTCTGTCCATTTAATTATTTAAAAATAATAGACAAATTAATAACATTAAACAACCACATGACCTTAAATTAACATTAAACCACAAATGTTAATTATGTTAATATTTAGAAAAAAAAGTTTTCTTATACTCAATTAGTATTTACATATTTAAATTTAATTAATATAATTTATTTTTTATAAATTAGAATTATTTAAATATCTTGTAAAAAATTAAAAAATTGAAACAAATATTTAAATTTTTATTTTCAAATATTTCCTTGCCTTTCTTCATTTTCTTTCACATTTGGAACAAAAAAATTTAATGGTTGACTCATTGTTTCTACAATTAACTCTTTTTCTGCATAATCATAGAAATCCACAGAATCACCAGAAAAAGTCAATTTACGTAATTTTGGCTTAAAATTAATTTACTGAATATTTCTTTTAATTTTTAAAAAATTACCGGAATATCAGTAAAACGCAAAACAATCCTTTTTGCTTCAATATTTGTCTCAAAATTATCAACAATAGAATCTCCATCAAAATTATTTTTAGTAAAATTTGCCCTCTTCAAAGCTTCTCTTAAAGTTCCCAACATTCCAATTGTTGTAAATATTTTTAATTTTAATTTACTTGAATTCTTTTTTAAAATACAAATTTATTTTTAATTTAAAAAATAATTAAAACCTCTGACTGTTCAGCATTTAAACGAACATCTGTTCCACTAACAGCAATAGAATTAATTTCACCACAAGATGGATTTTCTTTTTCAATTAATTTTGTCAATTTTGGATCTAGATTTAAAGAAAATTAATTTTTTATTATAAAAAATTATTTTTTAAACAATAATCTAATAAAATGGTTGGAATTGAAAACTTCCAAAAAATTATAAATTATCAATCGAATTAAAATTAAGTTTGTAAAACATATTTTTACCAAAAAATAAAAATATTTTGGAGAAAATCTTAGAAATTAAAAGTGCAGCCCATTTCCATTAACCATTCAAAAATTATTTTAAAAAACCCCTTAATTCACCCATTTTTTCTCAAAAAAATATTAAGTACCTTTTACTTTATTAGAAGTCCCAAATATCCACGTCAAAAACCCTCCATTGTCTTTAGGTATTTCAATACATTTACGGCAACCAGGACAAAACTTTTCATAAGCAATTTCTATTCTAATTGGCGCTTTTGGTGAAATCTTTAAATTGTTAAAAAATTTATTTGAAATTAGAAAACCTTAAAAAATTCCCAAAAATAAGTAAAATAACTGCTCAACGGACCCATCCACCAGAATTTGGGTATTTTGAGTTCGCAATGTTCAAACCACCCCAGAGCCATCTCTGACAAAAAATAATTGACAGAAGGTGAAGGAATTGTTGACGAAGTATTTTCAGTTTTTTCTTTCACTTCTTTATCAGAAATATTCTCCAATTTACAACAAATTGGATAAAATTGTTTTTGTTTTCCTTCAATTAAAGCCATCACACTTTCACAGCAAAGACGGACATTACTTTTCGGATCTTTTTTTAATTAAAAAATTATTATTTATTTTCATTTAATATTTAATTTTACCTACACTTTCTTTAATAAATCCAAGAATTGAAAATGTTTTATTTCTATTTCCACCAGGAAATATTCCAATTGGGGGTTGGTCCTCGATTTTTGTTTTTTGTAAAATCCCGTTGAGAGCATGACAAATAGTGCCATCACCACCAACAAGAAAAATACAATCTGTTTCTTTGTAATCAATTGTCCGAGCAATATTTTCCATTTCTGATTGACAGGAAACCTTTTAAATGTAAAAAGTCAAAAGAACAAATGGTTTTTCAGCTAATTTTTAATAAAATTAAAAAATTAATTATTCGTCTTTTCTACAAGTGAAAAAATTAAAATTCAAAAATCTCTTACATTTATAATATTAATATCAAGTCCAGCCAAATTAAGTAGAGGCAATCCATTTTTATTAAATATTCGAGCAGCATGTTGTCTTTTAGCTTCCTTATTAATAAGAACAATAACCCTTCTTAATTTTTGAGTTGGATGGATTGGTACTGCTTCAAATTGTTTTGCTTTTTCTCCATAAAAACGTCTAACTTCATCATCCCTAAAAAATAATTAAATAAAAGAATTTTCTAAATTAAAACTTTATTTTTGAATTAAGAGCATTTCCACCTGAGATGGCCACAACAAGAGCAAAAATTGATTTCTTTTTGTGTCGCAAAATAGCTTCAGTAAAACGTTTTAATTTTAAACTCATTTTTCTTAAAATATTCAGAGAAATTATAAGAAAATTGGGAGAATAGATAATTCCAGAGGCACAACCAAAAATTTTTTAATTGGATTACTTTTACAATAACCTCCCCCGACCTAATAAATGGTACAAAAATTCAAGGAAATAAACAAATCCATTCTATACAATTTTAAAAGTTCAAAATAATCATTTTATTTAAAGCAAAATTTAAATTAAATCAAAATTAAAGCATTGACAAGATAAATCAAAATGAGAAGAAATGGGAAAAATAGAAAAAGAGGAAAAGAATATGGCAGGAAATTAAGGCAAAAAATTAAATTAATTAATTAAATCAAAAAAATTAAATTAAAATATTTTAACACAAGAGATTTTCGACTAAATTTAAATATTTAATTCTTAAAGCAAAAATTTAATTCACTCGATTTCATCTGAAATGCCACGAAGATTGTATTTAGTCCCAGGAGTTCTGAAAAATTTTTTTGAGATTAAATTAATTAAAAAATTGTTATTTGAATTTTGCAGTGGTTCAAAACTTTCTAATAATTAGAAATAAGAAAAAAATTCCTAAATATTTATACATTTAAATAACTAAATTTAATTACCTCGCTCTGTGTATCTCCGCCTTTTCCTCCTTCACCATTTGAAGCAATTGACGCTCAAAATCATAAATTCTCCATTTAGAGGGATTCATATCTCTCCTCTTCTTAGCTACAGGCTTGTTCTGAAAATTTTATTCTTCATTAAAAGTTTCAAAAATACCTCATTATTATCTGGATTGGGTTTGCGACCACGCTTCGCAGTTAATTTTGTAGTAGATGGAAGAGCAGGCTGAATTGTCGAAGTAGATTGGATATTTGGTCCTTCTTGTTGCATCTGGGTTTTCTTGTTGCGTTCCTTCTTATTAGAAGAAATACATTTGTCGACTATTTGAAGTAAAATATTCCCAAATTCGCGCATAGCCTCAACAGATATCAGATTCTCAATGTGAACTAAAATGAAAATAATTTTTTTATCAAAACAGCATCGTGAATAAAACAAAAATGTACCATTAATGATATTCTGCCCGTTTGTTCCAGTTTTATCTTCAGCCGGAGCACGATTTGCAGAAACACTTTCGCTGGCATCAGTCTCGTTTACAATGGTTGTGTCAAAAGTTTGCTCCAATGGAGTAATATTCCCTTTCTCTGACATTGGAGTTCTACCCCGTTCGGAAAATGTTGGAGTTCTCGCACCTTCAGATTGTTTTGACCATTCCTCATAAGATTTAATTGTAACATATCCAGCCACCGCAGAACAAAACGAAATTACTTCATCTTGAGAGACAAACTTTACACGAAATTTGTAACGAATTGAACCATCAATCTAAATTGTATTTTTTAAGCCAACGATAATTATGAAAAATTCTAAACCTGATCCTTGATACAGAAAAGCAGCCTGGTCTCCTTACTAATGAGATCGTGAGAAAAAAGTAGCGGATGAATGCAAAAAGTCTCGAGCTCACGATAATTGTGATAAATGCAAATCATTTTGTTGACCTGTTCTTTAAATTGAATAATAAGACGATCATCCGGACCACAATCAACAGACTAAAAATAAAAATTGTTAAGAGATTTAAATAAAATAACCAAAGGCTGCTTGCGAGAATCTTGAAGACGATTATATTTTTCCAAATACCAAGTATTATGTTGACGCTCTTGATCCTTCCAATGTAATAATTGTAAAGGATTATGGGTAGGAAGAGGTACAGATGCAGAAGGAAAATAACGCTTAAAACTTTCGTTCATAACTACCTAAATGTAAAAAATAGAAAAGACCTAAAAATCTATATAAAATAGAGTAAAAGAGCAATTTACATTGGCGCTACACCCAGTATTTTATCCAGCAACTTTCACGATCTCCGGATTAGGTTTTCTAGATTCAATCAGAATCCGAAAAAAAATTTGGCGAAATATATTATTTATAAGTTCGCCAAGAAGCGCCAATTCAAAATTTATACACTATTTCTTCCTTTTTCACCCTCTTTATTACGAAATGGAAATAAAATAATGGTCACTTTAGAAAAATCACAAAATGGTCATTAGTGAAAAAAGTTTCGTTATTCCTCTGAATATTTAAAATTTTACGAAAATTTAAACAAAATCCGTTTAATCCTATAAATCAAAAACTTTTAGATATTTTCTCATTTTATTTAAAATGACTTCTGCATCGACTGACAAACTTGATGTTTCTGTAGATGGTAGCTCATCTTCCAACAAGGAACAACTCAGTGCTAAGGAAAAAGCTTTACACAATTATGTTTTCAGATCAATGAAGAGAGCACATGATATGTTTTTGTATGATTATGATGTTTTTCCAGAAAATAGTGAAAAAGCGTTTGTTTTTATTTATTTTACTTCTAGTTAAGAATTTGTTTTTTAGTGAAAAAATTTGGAGAAACACGAAAATTAGAAGCAGTTTCTCACATGTAATTAAGGCAGTTGAAGAAACTAAAAGACGTAGAGCTGAAGAAGTACTTCGTTTACCAAAAAGCAACAAGGAAGGAATTGCTGCTGTTGTAGCAAATGAAAGTTTGTTTTGAAAAAAAAATTATTAAAAATTTATTTATATTAGTTTCTTGACATATTTTTAAGCGTGTAATTTTAAATTATTTTATAATTTTGCAAAATTCAAATAGTTTAATTAAATTGAGAGGAATTTACAACAATTTAAGTAATCTTAAATTTTCAGATGTACCTCTAGCAATCACTGATGGTTCATCAAAAGGAGAAAAACAAATTTCACTGATTGAACAAAAATCAAATGACGGAACTGTTCGCGCTTTACTACCTTCTCGTGCAAATTTAATTACAAAGCCAAAATGGCATGCCCCTTGGAAATTATATAGAGTGATTTCTGGTCACACAGGTTGGGTTAGAGCTGTAGATGTTGAACCAAACAATGAGTGGTTTGCTACTGGTGGTGCTGATAGAATTATTAAGGTTTTTATTTTTTAATTAGAAGATATTTTTTTACTGAAATATTTTTTATTAATAGAAAATCTTAACAATAAGTATAGAAATTTCTTAAACTTTATTTTTATACCATGCTAGAGCTTTTCTTTATTTCTAATTTATTAAAAAAAATTTTAGATTTGGGATCTTGCCAGCGGTCAATTGAAACTTTCCTTAACTGGTCATATTAGTGCAGTGAGAGCTGTAAAAGTCTCACCAAGACATCCTTATTTGTTTAGTGCTGGTGAAGATAAACAGGTTTTAATTTTTATATAAATATATTTATAACTTTAAATTTAGGTTAAATGTTGGGATTTGGAACAAAACAAAGTTGTTCGTCATTATCACGGCCATTTGAGCGCTGTTCAAGATTTGGCTCTTCATCCAACTCTTGATGTTTTGGTTACTTGTGCTCGTGATTCTACTGCTAGGGTTTGATTTACAAAATAGTTAATTTATTTTGAAAACTGTTTAAAATTTAAGGTTTGGGACATGCGTACAAAAGCCCAAATTTTTTGTTTGAGCGGTCATCGTGACACAGTTGCTTCAGTCATCTGTCAAAGCTCGAATCCACAAGTTGTTACTGGAAGCCATGATTCAACTATTCGGTTGTGGGATTTGGCTAGCGGGCAAAGTGTTTGCTCTTTAACTAATCATAAAGTTAACTTTTTCACTAAAAAATTTTTTTTTATTTTTTAACTTTTAGAAAAGTGTTCGTTCTCTAGCACTTCATCCAACTCTTAATATGTTTGCATCTGGTTCTACAGACAACATTAAATTATGGAAATTTCCAAATGGTGATTTTATGCAAAATCTTAGTGGCCATAATACAATGATTAATTCTTTGGTGATAAATGAGGATGGTGTTCTTGTTTCTGGAGGTAATAAAATATTTAGTTTAAATGTAGGAATTAGCAGTACTCCATATAAGGGCTGGGCGAAATCTAAAAATAAAAAGCGAAATGCGAAACTTTTCGCGCTGAAAAATGCGAAACGCGAAAGTGCGAAATAAGCCCAGCCCTGCTCCATATGCAATGGATGATATAATTTCTAAAACACATTTAATATATTTTCAAAAAAGGTGATGTCGGCACAATGCATTTTTGGGACTTCAAGTCCGGATTTTGTTTTCAAAAAGAACATCCACCTCCACAGCCTGGATCAATTGATTCGGAACGTGGAATTTTTGCACTTTGTTTTGACAAATCAGGATCGCGTTTGATAAGTGCTGAAGCAGATAAATCTATAAAAATGTGGAAAGAAGATTTGGATGCGGTGAGTGAAAGTTTTTTTTAAAAATTATTTTATAACAACTAAAAAACTATCCAAATAAATTTTCGATAATTTACAAAAAGTTTTAAAATTAACAACTTTATGTATTTCTTTTCAGACAGAAGAAACACATCCACTAATGTGGAGACCAGAAATACTCAAAAAGCAACGTTTTTAACTGTTAAAATATTCAAATATATTTTTGTTTCCAATTGTACATTTATTTGTTTTTATTCAATTCTACTCCAAATTTAAAAATAAATAAAGGTAAAAACTATATATAATCAAATAAATTGGAAGAGGAGAGGAATGGGGAATATATTTATAAATATAACCCGTGAAATGTGTAAATTTTAAATAATAGGATTGAATTTCTTTTCCAGCTTTTTTTTGGTGTTGATTTAATTCTAATTAAGTATTCTCGTTTGGTAGAAAATAAGAAATAATTGGCATAGTTGCAAGTTTTCTTTTCATTTTTAGCCGCAAAATAGAGAAAAGTGCTGAAAATGTGGCAACAAATAAATAACTGCATTCAAATATCGTTGTAGCCATTCCAATCATTTTTCGTTCCAATGGTGTAATTTTTGAAAATTCTGATTCTCCTATTTTAGCCTATAATTTTAAAATTATATTAAATTCTTTTAGTAAAAAAAGGTACTTTTTGTAAATGTTCAAATAAATTCCATGGTCGATTCAAATTACGATTTTGTTGTTGTCTTTGGTGGTGTTGATGGTCATCTTGCCATTGATGACCAACAAAGTGTTGGGACTGGCGTTCGGGTGTAATATCGGGTAGTGGGCGAAGGCACATTTTAATTGTAGTTATTTTTTAAATTTAAGGTCTTTTCATTAATTTTATAGAATTTAAATATGAATAGTGAGTTTGTAAATCTCTTGGCGATGGGGGTGGAGTGATACAGCTAATCCCTGTTAAAATTGTTATTTTTGTCTTACACCTTCACATTATGAAATGAAATAACAATATTTATAAAAGCACGAGGGAGACTTGTTTGTTTATCGGTAACATCATTTGTTTACTAAAATGGAAACAAGAGTTGGGATATATGGGAAAACAAAGAGAAAGAAAAAAGGATTTGTTTGTGTTTTGAAGTTATTTTGTCTAAAGAAATCTAAAATAAACAGCTTAAGCTTTTTTAACACTCGTGAACGGGATATAATAATAGTATAGGAAGGAAAGGAGGTGATTGTTTTCATGTTTAATTGTGAAATAAATTCGTAGCATTTAACTCACGTTTTTTGTTTCTCAATAATGTTTTTGTTTATATTTCTTATATTTATGTAAGCGACAGAAAGTTAAAAGTGACTAGAAGATCAAACCATTTTTCAGTAAAATTATCAGATAATTTTTTTTAAAAGTTTAGCACTAACTGTCACTCACATTATTCTATTAATAGGTTGGAAAGGAGAATACAAATATAACAAAATTTCAAAAAGAAATGACTGAAAATCAAAAAATAAATTCAAAATTATATATTGCATTTTTAGTCACTTTTCTGTCATTTTTCTTTTATCACTTTTCTCGAGAAAAAAAATATTTTTTGTAGAAAACGTGTGATATTTTGCAAGAAAATATTAGGTTGCTATTAAAGAAAGAATGTATAATTTTGTGCTGTTTGTTGGTCGAGAACACGTGAAAACCAAACGAACATTTATTTAGAGAGAAGGAAGGACAAAAATAAAAGTGATGAAAAAGGGAATTTCCGAACGTTTAGAAAGGATTCGTCGAAATAATTTATTTTTGCCGCGTGTTTCTTCGTCAATTAATAGTGGCGTGTTCAATCCTCGTGGCCTTTTTTTCTATATTTTCCTCGTGATTTTTATGTTCGTAATTTTACAAATATTGGAAAATACTTATGTATGTATGTGGACAGATGGAAGAAATAAAAATAAAGATTGGAGAATATTTGTTAAAATATGTATTTTCCATTAGGATATACAGTTATATTTATCGACGATGATTCAACAAGTCAGCATAAAAGTATTCCCTCTGATCCCTTTTAGTCATTATGACCTTCAAAGATGTAGAAAGATTTCTATAAAGACGGGGGCAGGTCAATGTACCGCCGAACTATAACATCGTTCAAAATTGTCGAAACCGGGACGCATTGGTATGGTTCTATGTACCTAAACGAGCTGAACCGAACATATCAGAACATCTCAGATTTGATAACTCTGAGCTATGCTCGGCATCACATTGGGGTGTGCCCAAAGAAAACTGATCCATAAGCAGTCTTCTGAATTAAATTTTGAAAGTGTATGTGGGCTTATAAAGTTCATACATATCACCCAAAAGAATAGGAAAAAGATGACACACAGTATTTAGACATGAAAAATTTAATCATAGGAAATTTAAATTTTATTTATCTCGCGAATTTTTGCAAAAATAAATAAAATAAAAAAAAGAATTTTTCTAAAAAATTTCTAAATTATTTTGAATAATAAAATGATAAGATTAATTGTTTATTCGAGAAAATGTCATTTGAGTACTTTTTGTCAATTTCATTGATAAAATAATCACATTTTTATATTTTTTCTAGTTAATTAAATTCTCTAAAATTTATGTTTTTTTACATAAAAATAATATATTTATTTGTGTTTATTTAATCATTTGTTATTTAGTCTGTCATTAAAAGTAAATGATAAAAAATTAATGCGCTCTAATTTTTGTTTGTTAATAAATATAAAAATAATATAAAGAATCATTGCCGCGTGATTCTAAACGAATCAAAAATTAAATGTTGAATTTGTCTAAGGTAATGATGTTATAAATAAAAGTATATTATAGGTAATTTAATAGATTAATGTTTGGAAATTTGAAAAAAGAAAAGAAAATTCTTGTTAGTTCAAAAGGAAGAGTGTTAAAAAGAAGTAAATGATAAACAGACAAATTTTTTTAAATTTTCTAAATTTTGTTTTTGATTAAATTATGGATTCTGTTGTTGTCTAACTTTATTTTTTCTAAATTATTTTGAAGAAATTTATGTTTGTAATAGGGAATGCCTGTTTTTTTAGTAAAAATTTACATTGGGGACAATGTCCAGGCAAATTTTTTTAAACGTTATATCTCGAGAAAAATGCGTTTAGAAAACATGAATATTTTATTATTATTAAGTGAAAAGTACTCTCTTTAATAAGCTTTTATTTTAAAAATAACCCCCAGTATTTTTTAAAATATTCCCCAATTTAAAAAAAATTCTGACTAATGTAGATAAACCTTTGCACAATTGTGTGGTCCAAAAATACAAAATAAGAAAATATTATTAAAAGAAAAAAATGGACGAATCAATGCAAGAAATGGGACGATTTAATGGGCGAGTGCTATGTGAATATATACACAAAAAAATAAAAACAAGAAAATGGCGAAGGCTGTCGCTTATATTTCTTTTTTCTATTTTTTTCCGGTGAATTGCACGTGAATAACATTTACTAAATATATTTGTTTGTGTAAAGCTTTAAAGGAGGGAATATTTGATAAATATTTACTTACAATGATGATAAACAAAAAGAGAAAAATATTTTGTTTAAACAAAATATGGGGGGGGGGGGGGGGGGGGATTGTATCCAATCACATTAAAGTTAAACTTTTATGACAAAACCGAATACTAAATTGTTTATATCATTCTTAAATGTTCATCTTAGTTTAATTCAAAATGCACCTAAAATTCTTCCCTTTTTTGAAGGCCAAAGACACAAAATAACAATCAACTATTTATTACATAAACAGGTTTTTTTGGCAGATGAGTAAAAAATAAAATAAAAAAAAATAATTTAATATTTTTTTTCAAAATTTTATTTTCTTAGTAAATTTTAAAAAAATAATTTTATTCTTAAACAAATTATTTGAAAAAATTAATTTAACCATTCAAAATATATTTAAAATTTATTTATAGCAAAATTAAAAAAAACAAAATTCTAATTATTTTTAAAAAAATAATTGGTTTTGTAAACCCGTTAAAAATAAATAATAATTTTTTTTCTTTTTCTTTCTTTTCTTCAGCATTTCATCCAAATTTTTCTTTAAAAATGCTTCCGATCTTTTTTCTTTATTCAATTTAAAATACTTTTAGCCATATCAATTCCTTCATTCTCTCCATCCTCAGAAACAATTTTATTAGCGGCTAAAGTAGTTGGGGCTAATGCTGCCAAAATTGGAATTGAAATTAAAATAAGGGAAGATTTAATTTTTGGCTGAAGAAGTGAAAATAAAGCAGAGAAGGTAGCTACTGTAAGATAACTGCATTCAACTGCTGAAGCTATTAAACCAATCATTTCTTTTTTTGTTGATTTTTTAATATAAAATTTCCACAAAAAGAAGTTTCTAAAATTTAAAATTTTAAAAATTGTTTTAAAAATTAATAAAAAAAATTTTATTTTTTAAAATAAAAAATATTTTTCTCTTTATTTTTAAAAAGAGGAAGAAATTGTGTAAATGAGAGAAGGAAATTTGGTTCCTCCTTTTTATTTAAAAAAAAAGAACGGGCGGCGATAAATCGAAGAAAAAAGTAATTTTCTTTTTAAATAATTATTTAAAGACATTTAAAGATTTAGAAAAAAATCTTAAATTAGGGCAAGGGAAAGAAGAAGCTTTTATTTAAAAACAATTGTTTCTGTTAATTGTTAAATTTGTGTGTTATTTCTGAAGGATTTCAAAAAAGTTTTCAAAAAATAGCAGAAATAAAACTGCCAAATGTCTTCTTTTAAGAGAAAAAATCTTCTGATAAAAAATCCTTCCTTCCCTTAAAAATAAATGACTTTCTTTCCTTTACTCACATTTGTCTATTAAATAAAAGCAGAATGATGAAATGAAAAGAGTAATTTAGGTAGGTAACGGGCAAATAAATTTTATGAGCGATGAGGGCGGGGAAGGAAGGGAAGAGGAGAGAAGAAGAGGAAGAAAATGAATAAAAATGATATTCTTCTGAAATACACGTGAATTTACACAAAAAAGAAGAATTATTTTCTCTTTATTTTTAGAGTGCATTTTGACTATTTTTTTAAAGGAAATTTTATTGAGAAGTAGTAAATAAATATAAAGGTATACACAATTTTTAGTGATGAACAATAACAAAATATGGCCAAAGAAAGTGCATTTATAAAATGTAAACAAGTTCGAAAGATAAACTTTTGGGAAAAATATTTTTTTTTAATTTAAATAAGGAAAATTAAAAATTTTAAAATATACAAAAGATTAAGGAGAACTTTGGGGAAAAAGCCGTTATTGCCAGTCGGATCTCCTTTATAGTATACTGTATTTGATTTCCTTTGTTGGATGTTCTTTTAAAATGAGAATACTTTTTATCAATTTTGCCCTTATCAATTTTGGCATCAATCTCTTTAACTCGATGAGTGGAATCGCTTAAATTTGGTAAGATTCGGAAATTTTGAAGCAAATTATGAGCAAATTATCTTAGGAGTGTCTCTAATAAATAAGCCAGATTTTAATTTAAAAAAATGGACGGCGATGAAAAGTCTTTGTCAAGAATTAAGGTTTTCTGTCTTTTGAGTCAGGGCAAAAGAACGTTAGTCAAGTTTTATTTTTACTTTTCTTGAACTTTTTTTTGGCAAATTTTGCCTAATTTATGATTAAAGTATTTTATCTGATATTTTTTAAGAAAAATGAGCACATTTTCGAATGTCGAGATGGGACCGCCTGATGCAATTTTGGGTGTAACTGAAGCTTTTAAGCGTGACACAAATCCCAAAAAAGTCAATTTGGGTGTTGGGGCATATCGTGATGATCAAGGAAAACCATATGTTTTGCCAAGTGTCCGAGAAGCTGAAGCTCAATTGCTTGCTGCAAATTTGGATAAAGAGTATGCAGGAATTGCAGGGTTTTAATTTTTAGATTTTTTAATTAAATTATTTTGCAGAATACAGGAATTTACTTCGAAAGCTATTCAATTAGGTTTATTTGAGAGAAATTATTTTTAAAAATTTTTTTTAATAATTTTAGCACTTGGTGATGACTCTAAAGTTCTCAAGGAAAAGAGAAATGCTACTGTTCAATCTGTCTCCGGCACTGGGGCATTGCGTACTGGATCTGAATTTTTGGTAAATTTTCTGATAATTTTGAGAATTGGTCTTTCTTGAGTATTTGAAGTAACTGCACCTCCGGTATGTAGTAAGTAATGGGGTGTCCTGATTTATTTTTATCTTTTGTTGGACACACAAATTCTACTTGTAAAATTCCCTTTAAAGTTTTTCTTTTTTTCAGTCCAAATGGTATTTACCTTCTAAAGTCGTTTATTTGCCTTCACCAACATGGGCTAATCATCTAAATGTTTTTAAATTTGCGGGGATTGAAGTTAAACGTTATCGCTATTATGACCCAAAAACTTGTGGTTTTGATGAGGAAGGCTGTTTACAAGATATTTTGGCAATGCCTGAAAATTCTATAATTCTCTTCCATGCTTGTGCACACAACCCAACTGGTGTTGATCCAAACGTTTGTTTAAATAACCTTTTTTATTTTAAAAATTTTTAAGGTAGAGCAATGGGAAAAGTTATCTAGTGCTTGTAAACAACGCAAACTTTTTTGTTTCTTTGATATGGCCTATCAAGGATTTGCTTCTGGCGATGTTGACAAAGATTCTTTTGCTGTTCGTCGTTTTGTGGAGGCTGGGCATGATATTTGTTTGGCACAATCTTTTGCTAAAAATATGGGACTTTACGGTTTTTGTATATTTTCTTTTATCAATTTTTAATTTTAAAAAATTTATTTAGGTGAGAGAGTTGGGGCTTTTACTGTTATTTGTTCTAACCAGGAAGAGGCGGAACGAGTACTTTCCCAACTTAAAATAATTATTCGTCCAATGATTTCGAACCCACCTATTCATGGAGCTAGAATTGCTGCTAAAATACTTGGAGATTCCGACCTTCGACAAAAATGGTTAGAAAAAAAAATAAAATTTAAGAGAATATTTTTGTTTTAAAAGGCTTGCTGATGTTAAAAGTATGGCAGATCGAATTATTTCTATGCGTGTTCAACTTAAAGAGCTTTTGGTTAATGCTGGGTCTCAACGTAATTGGAATCATATTGTTGACCAAATTGGAATGTTTTGCTATACTGGACTTAACCCAGAACAGGTTTTTGATTGAAAAATGAAATAAAATTTTAAAAATTATTATTTTTAGGTTGATCGTTTGACCAATGAATTTAGTATTTATTTGACAAAAGATGGGCGTATTTCAATGGCTGGTGTTACTTCTGGTAATATTAATTATGTTGCAAATGCAATAAATGAAGTTACAAAGTAATTGAAATAGTTGAGGATTTTGTAGATATTTAAATTTTGTAGACTTAATTTGAAATGCTCATTGTAATAAATGTTAGAATATTCCCGGTATTTTATATAGAATTTCCGCTAGAGATAAATAAAGGAATTGTATTTTATTTGTTTTTTTACAAGGAGAGTTTGCGAGGTGTCCGACCTAAAAATGGTCGAGACCGGGCTCATTCGATAGAGAATGTGCCCTTTCTAGCAAGGATTTTTTGCCGTTTTTGCCCGTTTTTTGATTTGGCCAAGATATGGCCTTCCAAAGTCCCAAAATTTGGCATAATTTTCCCCCTCTAAATATAAACTTTAGATAATGCGCTTATTTTATTGGCGCGGTGGTGTAGTGGTGATGTGCTTGCGTTACCCTTTTTCTCTAAAAAGTTCGATTCTTTTCTGGGTTTTATTTTTTTATCTAATTGTTTTAAACATTATTTTTTTTTAACAAAAAAAATTTTTTTTGAAAAAATTTTTTTAATTTTATTTTTTTTAAATTTTTTGCTACACCTGGTACATCGAATAAACTAGATTCCAAACAATTAGGTGTATTACATTCAAAAGGGGACGATAATGGAAAACAATAACGGCGCGGATGATCGAATTTTCCGGGGAATCTTCTCCTCTCCACCCAATAACTCGTCAGGATAAAGTTTTTTATAAAAAAAATTTTTTTATTTCTAAAAATTTAAAAAAAAATAAAATTAAAATTTTAAAAAATAAAATTTAAAAAATTTTTTGAAAAAAAAATTTTTTTGTTGAAAAATAAATAAATAATGTTTAAAACAATTAGATAAAAAAATAAAACCCAGAAAAGAATCGAACTTTTTAGAGAAAAAGGGTAACGCAAGCACACTCACCACTACACCACCGCGCCAATAAAATAAGCGCATTATCTAAAGTTTATATTTAGAGGGGGAAAATTATGCCAAATTTTGGGACTTTGGAAGGCCATATCTTGGCCAAATCAAAAAACGGGCAAAAACGGCAAAAAATCCTTGCTAGAAAGGGCACATTCTCTATCGAATGAGCCCGGTCTCGACCATTTTTAGGTCGGACACCTCGCAAACTCTCCTTGTTAATTTGAGTTTTGTTTTCTCTTAAATATATTTTTTGAGTTGATCTGGATGTTATCTGAAAAGAAATTTTAGTTTAAATTAAGAAGTTTAAATCTCCATGAATATTTTGGAAGATTATGTTGCTGTTGTCTTTGCTGGAGGGAGAGGTAATCGAATGTTGTCTATTACTGAACATATTCCCAAACATTTGTTGCCAATAATTAATATTCCATTATTTTGGTTTCCTCTCAATTTGCTTCAAAGAAATGGATTTAAAGGTTTTTATTTTTCTTAGTTTTAAATTTATTAAAATCCTTTTCTACTTATATGTAGTTGGGAGAATATCCTTAAAGTGAATATTTTCTAAATAAATCAATTATTTTCAGAATGCCTTCTAATCGTTCCAAAAACAAAAGCAGATTTCATAAATAAATTACTTTCTGATGGAAGTTTACCGAATCTTGATCAACTTAAAGTCACAATTTTATCTTTTGATGATGAAGAAGAAGGAGCTGAAGAATTTGGCACAGCTGATGTTCTTTTACAAAATTTGGATAAATTGAAGGTTTATTTTTTAAGGAATTTTTACTAATAAAAATTTTTAGAAGAAAAACGTTTTAATTGTAAGCGGAGATTTAATTTCCGATTTGAAATTGGAAGGAATGCTTAAATTTCATGAAAAAGAAAATTCAATTTTAACATGTCTTTTGACTGATTCTCCACTTTCTGGTGCTATACCTGGAACTAATGAAAGGCCTAAAAAATGTTTTTAAATTTTTTTTGAAAATAATTTTTGGAAAATTTAAAGATAGAGATTTTGTTATGTTTTCTCCAGAAAATAATCAATTACTTTATCTTATCGACGAGGATGATTTTGGCGATGACGAGAAGTTTCCTGCTTCTCTTTTTAAAAGGTTTTCTTTCTTCTTAAATTATAATATGATTTTTGAATTAAATTTAAAAATTAAATAAAATTGGACGAGTTGTTTCTTATCCAATTGTTTTGTGTTTCTGGAATTCTTCTTATTTTTAGAGAGCGAGTGAATCTGGATCCAGACCCTGATTTTTCCTTGACTCAAGGTCGAGAATCTGGTCAAGCATCTGAAATTAAGGATCGCTCTCTACTTATTTTCTTGATTCTCATTAAAATTCTAATCCATAATTTTTTTTAAATTTACTAATTATTTTATAATTTTTTAAGCTCTTCACATATCCAAACGAGTGCCAAATATAAAGATGTACATTTATATGCCATTAAAAGAGATGTTTTAAATGCTCTGAAAACTTCAAAGTATTTTTTGAATTATTTAATTAATTTAAATATTTATTTAAAAGATTCTCATTTTCTTCATTAAAAGCTGATTTTATTTCAAATTTAATTTATGGACAATTTTCTAAATCAAAGAGACGTTCACTTGGATTTGATGAACTACAAAAATATAAATGTTTTGCTTATTTTAGTAATTCAACAGAGTGCTCTTTTTTGGCTCAATGTAATAATTTGGGGGCTTATTTTGAGGCTAATAAAATTGTTTGTTTTCTTTTTTAAACACTTTGGAATTTCAAGAAAATTTTGTGGTCGTCCCTTTGTTGCAATGTTAGAAGCATTTATTAGCAAGGGTGGGTGTTGACTCTGGACCAAGTCCTGGGTTTTTCCTGTACCCAGAGTCCGGGCGCAGGCATCTTTTTGACCTTCCTGGACTACAGGCCCAGGTCAATAAATAAAACCCAAAGTCCAGGAACAGGCCCAGGCTTTTCAAAAATCTGGATCTCTATGTAGTAGATTCGAATTAAAATTTGAGAATTAAAAAAAAATTATTCTACAAATAATTTTGTATTTCCCTCCCTTAACAAATTTTCTCTTTTATATTAGATTAAAAAATTTCTTCCAAAACTTTGTGAAAATTTGGATTCAAAATTTTTGGGAAAACAAACAAATCAAAATCAATCAGAAAGTTGGATTGCAGAAAATACTCAAATTGGCACAAAATTTCAATTAAAACGTTCTGTAATAAGTGAAGGGTGTATTATTGGAGATAATGTAAAAATTGATAATTGTTTGGTTTTGTCTAATGTTAAAATACTTGACGGGTAATTTTTCGTTTAATTATTTATTTTTTTAAATTATTTTTAAGGGCAAATATTAAAAATTCAATAATTTTAAATAATTCACAAATTGGAGAACAAACAAATATTTCTATGTGTATTATTACTCCAAAACAAAAAATACCCAAAAAAGGTTTAAATAAATAAATAAAAATTAAAATGAATTTTCTTTAGCAAAAATTAATTCCTTGACAATTTGTGACGAAAAAGAAATGAATTTAAATATTTGTGAATAATTTTATTCGTTTTTTTTGTAATTGTTTGAATTTAACTATTGTTTTACGAAAAAAATAAATTAATATATGTTTTGCCAATTTTATATTTTGCCAAATCATATTGTGCCAATAGGCAAAAATCCCCATTTCGGCAGTTCCATATTTTGGAACGCGGTTTACGCTCCAAATTTTAAAAACCCAGTTATCGCCTGAATTTTAGTTATTTGGATAGATATAAATTCGTCGGGAGTACTGGATTTTTTAAAGCATTTGGTAGATTTTTAAAAATCATTCAGCCGTCCCCTTATTGTTAGTTCTTTATTTGGAAAAAAGTACTATAAAAGGCGTTCCACATTCCTGTCAATCAACCATCTTCATACAAACTCACGCTTGGCTCGCCTATTCTAGCTTCTATCCCTCCGGCAGGTAATATACAATTTGTCACTTTTTATTCTGCTTTAAATGTTTTTCTTTTAGTTTTCTCAGATGGAATCCGATGAAAGCGCTCAACGTCGAGTTAAGGGCCGTAGCTTAGTCGCTTTCGCAAAAATGCGCAATATCGAGATAGAGAAGGACTACGCTGAACTCTCCGGCAACGAGCGTCATTTTGTGCGTTTCTTCGAGGCCGACAACATGAATGTAAGAAGAATTTCTCTAAATCGCTAATTGTATAATCCAATGGATTTTTTGTTTTCAGCGCAGCCAATACGATAACGTTCCTCTATATGACAAGGATGCTGTTCGTCTGTTGCCCAGTTCCGGTGAAAGCGATTTTGTGCATGCCAGTAAAGTGATCACATCTGGCGGAGAGGGAGGTTACTACATCATCGCCCAAACACCGCTGGTCAATCCATCAAAGCCTCGTATCGATACTCAATTCAATTGGTAGATTAAGGACATAAAACATAAGCTTTTCTCTTTTTACATCAGGTTGCGCATGTTGTGGGAGTTCAATGTGTACGTTGCTGTTTGTCTCGTCAACCTTGGTCACGAAAGCGAATGCGACTACTACTTCAACAGGAGCAGAGGCGAGACATATAAAGTGAGGATTTAAATTTAATTATTCTAATTACTTTTGTTGGGGTTTGTTCTTCAATTGTGCTAAAACTTTATTTTTAAAGGTCAACAACTTCGAAATCACAACCTTGGATGTTGGCACAGATGTCAACTGGTGTTGGACATACTACAGACTGAAGATATCACGCAAGGAGGGAAAGAAACGTTATGAACGTGTCATCCAGCTTGTAGTGTGTCGAAACTGGACGGTGTGTTTATTTTAGTTTTGAGTGGCCGATAAACTTGTAGCTAATCCTTAATTTTCTAGGATGACCCGCGGTTCAGTCCAATGAACTACAAGGACTTGTCTGATCTTCTACACTTTGTTTGGTCGCTCGAGAACGATTCAGCAAGTCAACGACGAGCCCAACATGGGTCAGTTGGCGAAAGATCGGTGTTGCATCCAACTTTGGTGCACAGTAGAGCTGGTATGAATCGAGCTGGGACTTATGTAGCTGCTTCTATCTTTGGCCGTCGTATGTCTGCGAAACATACTCGAACGCTAAGGTCCGGAAAGTTTTCAGTAAAGATAATCCATTTGTTTTATTTTTAGCCTGAACCGAGTTGTGAAGGTCTGCAAAAGTCTGAGAAGTACTCGTTACGATATTCTGAATCGCCGTTCGCAGTTTCTTCTTCTCCTTGAAACTATTCTTGAGCTGGCTGTCCGAAGTGGGACTGTAAACGAAAAGGATGTTAGTCGTGCCCGTGATGTTCTCCGACGGTGAATTTTTTTCGTTTTACATAAAAATTGAAAAAAAATTCCGTTTTTAGTGTCCGTGATGAGATTGGCAAAACACGAGCAAAAGCAAAAGGATCATCACGGTAAAGATTGAGACTTGTTTATAAAACAATTTTTGAGTTTTTAGTAGCCGTGGCTGAGCTGCTGTGGGCATCGACAACATGCTAGGACGATACTTGTGTAAAGAAAGAGAAGAATCATCCTGAGAGAAGAATTTATCTAATATCATATTGTAATTATTTGTTTTCTGTGTGTGATATATAATTGGTATTTTTATTGTTGTGATAAATTTACATATAAAAGAATGTTTTGCTTTATTTTATAGAATTATGAGAAGGATAGGGATTTGTGTTAACTGGTCCTTAATTTATTTAATATGCCTCCATTTAAATAATTTTTGATTGCTAAAATGTCCAAGGTCAATTGAGGGGAGTGAGAAAAAAGTATTTTTGTTAGTAAATTTGTTTTAAAGAAATCTTCAATAATTTTACTATAAAATAATTGTTTTTTCGAGGTTCAATAAATTTTTTAATTAATTATTTATCAAACTTTTAAACAGTAAAGCTAATTTTTAATTCACAAATAGAAGTTTTTAACCAAATTTTTTTCATTTTTTCTAATCGTATTATTTTATTTAGTTGCTTTTTAATACAGAAACAGGAAATTTATATTTAAAAAAAAGAAAGGGAATATATGAATAATCAAAATATACATTTATCTCCTCTCTTTCCAATCACACAAAATAACCACATTTTCTAGTCCACAACAGCTCGTCATCAAATCAAAAAATTATTTTCTCACCATTTACTAGTTCATTAAATCATAAAAATTTATTTATTTAAAACACCCATTAGTGGCCTTTCTTTGTTCTTTTTATTATATAAAGCTCATCTACTATATAATATCCAAAAATTGCTTTAGGGTAATTCTCTTTTTTTTCTAATAATTATTCTTTTACCACAAATTAAAAGAAAAAAAGCTTTGAGTTGTTTTCTTTGTTATTTATGTTTATTTATTAACCAAAAAATTTTTTCCTTTATTTTGGGCATATTCTTAGAGAGATGATCACATAATATTTTTGAAGTACTTTTTTAATCTACTCAGAAAAAATATTCAAGTGGATGAGGGGAATAGATTGAGTAATTAAATAAGCTTGTGCTAAAAACGAGTAAAAATGTTGCAATTCTGTAAATGTAATTAATTTCTTTTATTATTTAATATTTTCCTTTTTTCCTTTAAAATTTAAATATAAATTATTGAGATTAGGGATTTTATTATGTACTAATCTCAGGGAGCAGGCCAAGGTACCGCAGAGCTATAGCTTTGTTCAAAGTGATCGAATCCGGGACGCCCTAGCATGGTTCGATTCATCTCATCGAGCTGAGCCGAACTATACTAGAGCGTCCCGGATTTGAAAATTTTGAACGAAGTTATAGGCTCTGCGGTACCTTGGCCTGCTCCCTATTTAAAAATAATTAGTATTTGATTGTTGCTTACATATTATTATTTTACTTTTAATTATTTAATTTTATATTTTTATTAAAAACATCAAAAACAAATATTTAATTTTACTTTTGTAATTATTCTTCTTATTCTTTTAAAAAAAGTTTTTGGATTTTTTTGCTCTACTTTTTATAGTGGGCGAATGATTTCATTCTTTTCTAATATTTAGGGGTTTAAAAAAATATTTTCTTAATCATTTTCTTTGGTTTACGTGTTTATTTTTTAATATATTTTTGTGTATATTTTTAATGGAAAATGGGCGAAAATCTATAAAACTCTAAATAAAAATTAATTTTTAAATAATAAGAATTTACTGAAAAATTTTTTAAAAAACCAGCTAATATCAATAATCATTTTTCTAATTTAATGATTATTGCATAAGAGACCTAGGTGCATTGCATAAGAGACCTAGGTGTATACATAGATAACAAGCTAAAGTTCGATCATCATATATCAAAAATTACTAAATCCTCATTTATAAGACTAAACAATATTCTAAGAACACTACCTACAACATTACCAATAGAAACATATGTAAAGGCATTCAAAACATACATAAGACCAATTATGGAATATTCCACTGAAAATTTTAGCCCCAAATTAGAATATCTTAATAAACAATTAGAAAGACCACAAAAAAGCTTTACAAGGAGAATTCTAAGATATAAATACAAATACCAGAAAATAGGGTATAACGAAAGACTAAAAAGATGCAATCTCCCTCCAACTAATATCCGTCGTATAAGAACAGATCTTATAACAACCTTTAAAATAGTAAAGGGTTTCTATAAAATAAAACCAGAACAAATGTTTTCAAAACCTAACAGAAGTAATCCGCGCCTACATAAATATCAATTATTTAAAAAACAAGCAAAGAATAATCATTTCTTTTCACATAGAATCATAGATAGGTGGAATAAACTTCCAAAAAATGAAATTGAAAAAATAAATACTATTCCGCAATTTAAAAAATTTATAGACAAAATATTAACTACAGAAGATCCTAATATATGAGTAATGATTTAATGGAGTGTATTAACAATAATACCTATCCTAAACTAAATGTTCACTTTCTTATTTAAATATTTGCTTAACAGTTAAATAAAATTTACTCTAATTCAATATTTTTATATTTTTTTACCTAAAAAAAAAAAAATTTTTTTTTTAAACATTTAAACATTCATTCATATTTTTTTTTCTGTGGAGTCCATTTATATATATTTATTTCTTTTTAGCTTATTATTTTTAAATTAACATTTTTTTTAAAAAATAACCGTCTTATTGTATTTGATTTTTTTTGTATGATACCTCTCCATAAGTGATCCCTGTGGATCCAGGAGTTTTATTTTATTGTTTCACATTTTATTTATTTGTGTTCGATAAAGAAAAAAAAAAAAAATAATTAATTCAAAACTGAAACAAAAACAAAAATATTTACTTAAAAGCTTTTATAAAAAAAAAGGAAATTCTTTCTAAAAATAATTTGATTAAAAAATTAAAAGATTAGTTTAAGAATGGCGGTTCTTTCTCCAAAAACCAGTAGAGAAAAGAATTTTTTCCTTTTTTGTTTACTAAAATCCCCCACCCCCTTATTTAGAATTTTTTCTTTTACACTTCCTTTGCCTTTTTTAGTAGTTCTTTTTACATTTCTTTTTACTTTAATTCCCCATTATTTTTATATTCTCGTCTAACATCTACATTCTATTCCTTCTTTACCACCCACAAAAATGGCATTCATCCAGCCAAAGAATTTTTATTCTATTTTTTTTTTACAATTCCTCTATTCATTCTCTACTTTTATATATGTTCAATAATACTTTTTTTCTTTCCATTTATTTTTTTCTCGCGTTTTTATTAGTCGATCCAATCGTAAAAAACAGTCCAGTCAGTCGACTGGCGGCGGAACTATGCTTTGCGCTTCTCCCCCGTTTTTTTATTTCTTTATTTACCCCTTTACCTTGCACTAAATCTTCTTAGAAAAAAATTTTCTCATAAAATCCTTTTCAAATCTTCTTCCCTCAATTATTTTATTTGTGTCTCCCCCTCAGACTTTCATGAATTCGCGCAAAAACAAATCCCCCCTCCCTCCCCGGACTCATTGAAAGTTTTTCTCTAAATGAGGATATATTTACGAGATGTTGTTGTTGAGTAGTTAAAAAGAGGGGGGAGGGAGGGATTTGATGAACTTTTTTTTCTACACATTAAAATTTGTTGGGTGGTTCCCTCTTTTCTCTTCTAAATTCACTCTTACAACACAAAATTGACCCGAATTGTGTATTTTAATATAAAAAGAAAATCTGACAAGAAAGGTGAGAATATACAGGACAACAAAAGAATTTACTCAATTTCTTTTAATAATTAAAATAAATCTTTAAATCAAAAATTTCCTTTTCCCCTTTTTAATAATTTTTTAATTTTCCATTCTTCCGCTAATTTTAAATTTTGGCGTTAATTTTTAATTCAAAAATTAAAAGGTTTTGGCGTTATGCAAAAATGTTACAAACAATAAAATTAGCCATTTCGTCGAACGGGAATGTTTGTGTGTCTTTTTTAGCTTTTTTCTTGATTTTTACGTAGTCCTTTTATTAATTTCTTACTTAAAAATCTATCATTATTATCACTTAAAAATGTGAATTTTATTTATTTAACTTTACTAATCAAAAATTAATTTTTTTCTAATTTTTCAGAGAAATTGAGAGCTTCAATCGAAAAGAAGAATAATTTCGATTTAACATACCTAGAATATATTTATTTTA